GCGAGCTTGTATAAATGCACGTGAAGAGAGCCCTGCGTGCCAAAAACATGTTACGCAACTATAGAACAGCACGGCAATCAATGCCGGCGGGAGTGGTTCCACTCATCCCGCTCGGCTTGCGAATGCCGGCCGCGTTGCTGACCACGATCGGTTCCACTCGTCATATTGGGCCTGAGTGTACCCACGATAAAGCGGGGCGGCAGCAGCAGCGACCCCTTTGGTGCCTTTGCTTCGAGCTGCAACTTGGTGATTCTGCTCTGCCAACCGTTCAGTTGCCGCTGACTGCACCTCAGCATTGCGTAGACTGTCGTTGACCAAATGGCCAGCTTCCTCGGCGAGCTCCTCCACTGTTCAACAGTGCCATTCAGGCATACTTCCCCATCGAATGTGGGGATTTTGCGAGCCTCGGGTGCGATCATAACGACGTCGGTGCAGAGGTGAGGAGGGAGGAAAGCACCCATATAAGCCGATGGGCACAGTTCCAACGTCATCGATGAGGCACAAAGTGCGGAGGGGCTCCACTTCGCAGTGGGCATAGAAGACCAGCTTGCCCGCGGACGCTCACCCGGTTCGCTGCGAAGTAGCCTTGACTGAAACACAGAAACTGTTCAGCTTCCGCCCGATATGCAATCATCTCGGTGTTGAGTTGAGACACTAATTATAGAACATGTGTGCATGCTCTGCTGGACGAATGCTAATCGCCTGGTGTGCTCGGCGTCTGCATGCGCCTCCAGCGGCCTGATGTGCATGCTGGCTTCCGCGTAGATAACATCCATCATCTGCCGATGCCGGGCGTCAGCTTAGGGTTTTGTTTCCAGTAGTACCGCTGTTGGGGACCAACGCCATCAGAGCTGCCAACGGCTGATAACCTGAAGTTTCAGGTATCACAGCTACCAGCAGCAATACTCCGTCAAGTCAGGTGACTCCGTTTTGTCATGCGGACTTGAGCCCATATCAGTCGCCTAAGGACAATGCTGAGGGCAACAAAAGTACAGTAAGGCGCAGGGTATAAAATCCACAGAGAGGGCGAAAGCCCGACAAGTTGATAGATGTTGGCGTACAGGTCCTGGTCTTCTCAAGTCTCCAGGGGCAATGACCAGAATTGACAGTGTCCGCGGGAGGGTGGGATACCAGCCTCAGCATGCAAGACTCCGAAACGCTGCAGATCGTTTGCTTCAGTCCCTTTTGGCTCACCACCTCTTTGGAATTGACCCATCGCAGCCTCCTGCGCCACATGTCACTGAATCGTGGAGTCCTTGCCTGTCCCCGTACTTCTGCGCTTTACCTACAGTCTCCACTGTAGGTCCTTTTGGGGGTTACCTTTTAGCATTTAGGATCTTTCATATAGATTTGGTTAAACCAAAAAAGGAATTACAATGGAGACTACAGGTACATTCTTCACGGTGCACGCTTTGGTGTACCGCATCACCGCAGAGTAGAGCCGGCTGGGAACCCTGCCGAGCCTGATGGGGCGTGTCCGTGCCGCTTCCATATAGGATAGACCTTGGCACCATGTCAAAGCAAGCTTCCTTCAACAAGGCTTGAAAATCATGATGACCCTTTATCTATCTATCTATCTATCTATCGATCTCTATATATATATATATATGTAGCTAATACATACATGACACTCTTCTGTTCACAACCCTCGCCCACTTAGTCACCTAGAAGGGCTTTGCATCTCGCCATAACCTCATGGTGGAGTGCGCACAAGGAACAAAGCTCCACGCATGCAGAGCCTGGACCCCCTATGCTGGGCTTCTCGGGAACTTCTTGGCGCTGTAACCATGAACTCCTAAACCGTGAATAATTAGGGTTTAGGGGTTTAGGGTTTTAGGGTTTAGTAGCCTCAGCAGAGCCCCAGAAGCGACACGTCCCATCCAGACGGGGTCGGGGCGGATAGTCCAGGTCTGAGCTGCCAAGCACGTACCTATGTGCCACGATCAACGGCATGACTCCGACTGGGACGATGACGGAGTCGGAGACGCACACCGCATCATGCACCCACACAACACTCTGCAAGTATCCCAAAAGGGCCAAGGTAAGATGCCAAGACTCCTGGACGTGAAATGACTGCCTCCGGCTGAGACTGCGGCCACCCGAGACTTGATAGGACAGGGGAGGGACAGGGGCAGCCCCTTGGAGACTGCTTCAGGGCACCCCTTGATCTCTTCACGGATGTACATCTCCACCTTGTAAGGTCTTGGTCTGTGGTGAAAGCGAAGATCCGTGGAGTTGCTGGGGAGGCTGCCCGATAAATGAGCTTCTCCTGCACATCCTGCTAGAGCAGACTCGAGGCTTGCAGGCCGACCCACACCAGCTTTGCCTTTTCTTCTCCGGAGTCCTTGTGCAGCCGGTACACAGCCCCGAGCACACAGACGTCCGATTGCCTAGCAATTTCCGGTGCAGAAAAAAACGGCTGCATCACGAGGTCTAAGACGAGTGGTTCAAAGGAGGGCCCCGGGCAGACGATGTGGCTCCAAGACATCCATCTGCCTCGAGCTCGAGGCTTGAGAGAGCAGAGGAGCAAAGAATCGTGGGGACGACTCTGAGAACTTGGAAGATGGTGCCCTTGTTTTGGCTGGTATATGGCTTATACCAAAGAAACTGCTTATGTTTTGTGCAGTGCGAGATGCAGACAGTCAGCAATTTCTCGCAAGGAGTCGATGGAATCACAAGCCAACACCTCAGAACCAGAAACGTTCAGAAGGCAACTCGACACACCTTGAATCGTGAAACTTTCAGCTGCTACCCATAGGCTCCAAAGTAGCTCCTTTTTGGGATTACCTTATAGGATCCTAAATATGAACCCCAAAAGGGAACTACTTTGGAGCCCATGGCAAACTCGACAGGACTGGGATCCGGTCCAAAGGACGCATCGTCCTCGGCGCTAAAAGACATCCAAGGCAGGCCTTTTTTGGCCCTTCCTCGCTCTGACTCTGAACCGGCCCAGTGGCTGGTAGAAGGCATCCGCCAGCTTGCTGAGCAGCGTCCTCAAGGCCTCCAAAAAATGGCTCAAAAGACCTCTGGGCAACTCATATCAAATCGTGGAAACTGGTGCACCTCCTGCTGATGTCTCAGCTCGAAATACGCCTGCCAGGCCGGAAGGTGAAGCTGAAGCTGACAAAATGCTCGAAGTCAAAGCAAGGGCGCTCGGTTGCAGCAGGTGCCTCAAAGCACTGCTTTTCGAGCTGTGCGATCTCGAGGATGTAAGTGCTGGCCTGACAGCAGGACAGACGCGCCGGAGCAGAGCAGGGGTGGCGTCTGTGGCTTGAAAGTGCGGAGACTGCGCGTCCTAACGGTGTCATGTGTGGGTGCTTTCGAAACTTGTATCATCCGCCAGTCCCGATTCCTCACTTCGACCTCGTGAATGAACAGCGATGCACAACTGTGTTAACAACGAAAGATGGTGGCCTGCCGCGTGGCGGGAGCGAGCCTGGGCCATGCAAAAGGACTCACATGTGCTGTATTTACTAACAATTAAAGTCACAAAGCTTGAATCGGCTCAAAGCCTAGAAGCCCCTTCGGCATAGCATCGGTGTGCGTTATCGTGAGTTGTATCATTTGCCATATCATGTGGGGTATCAATGGGCTGGCCGTAGATCACCAAGAATTCCGTAAGATCCGCTGAAAACTTCAGGACCTCAGCCCGGTGCTGGCTCAGCTCCAATTCGCCATGCACGATGGACCTAGGCATGGAAGCCTTCTTTGGCAGCCCGGGCCCGAGCGAGTTGTGGCTACCTTTTTTTGTTGTTGTCCATGCTTTCGGATCCTCCTCTCCTACTGCCTTGAGACAGTTTGAAGCACCCTCCTCTTCGGGCTTCGGATGAAACTCTGGGCCGGAGCTTTTCGGGTCTTAGCGGCTTATAGCGAACCTGAAGCTGGAGCCCTGCTTTCGAGCCTCATGGGCCAGCGCAAATCTGGGGGAGCTGCTGCAGCTGGCTGGAAACCTCGGCAAAAACAGGGAGGGATCAGAGCATGAGTGCAGCATATATAGCCGCTTTCTGGCACCTTCTGCACAGCTTCACCTCCGAGCTCCTGGCGGGCGTCAAGAGCCGGAGCCGGAGATGGACGAAGAAGCCCTCGATCTCCTCCAGCGTCGCCTCGGGCTGCGAGGAGGACTTTGGAGGTCGCCGCGTGTGAGATCCTCGGCCCCTCGCGGCGTAGGTTTCATTCACCTCCACGCGCTTGTTCAGCAAAGAGAGCAAGGGCCTTCGTCCATCAACTTCGGAAGTGGGGACCCCCTGCATCGTAATAAGCAGACATTCGACGTGGCCTGTAGTTGGGGGCTGCTGCCCGGAACTTGCTGTACAACACCTGCATGGTGAAGTCACAGCAAGGTCCGTGGGGCTTGTTCCCGGGAAGAAGGGACAGCTTAGTGCAGACCTCGCTCAGATCGAATCACGACCGGAGCCGCGGAAGTCTGAAGAAGATATCAGAAGACGAGAACTGACAGAGCCTTTTTCCTTCGTCGTTGCGGCACCGCTCTCCAGGGCTTCCTCACGCCACCAGCGCCGAGGCCGTCGCGGAGACGTATCTCGAAGGGCCGACAGCTAAAGTCACGGGAAAGGAAGAAAGCCGCAGAAGGATACTGTAAGAGGAGGACGAGCAAGCGCATGGACACACCCACAAGATAAACACAAGCCACAACAGATTCGGAGATGCAGTATGATTCATGTGCATTTACATGCATACAAGAAGACTTGAATATATAATGCACACACACCAATATGCGAAGTGCGGAATGTGATGAGCACATCTACACCCACGCTTGCGGCAGTTGTTGGGGCCATGACGGCAGGTAGCCATGCACGTGCACATTTCAGAGATTTCCCTCTCAGCCATGCACACATCCATACACATGCCAAGGCATATCTGGGTCCCAGGCTTCCAGGTGGCAGGGAGGGACTTCACACCTCAGTCGCATGCACACCTGCAATATACTATACTAGACTATACATACTATATACTGACTTATTCTCTACCATGCTGGACAATGCTCTACTCACTCCACTATACTCCGCTCTGCTCTGCTATGCCGTGATATGCCGTGCCGTGCCATACCGCCTTTCCGTCTGAACTCGGTTCAATTTGAACTTCCGGATGTCGATTCCATGCAGGTGCAGGGTCCCTTTTCATCCGAGCATATACGAAGCAGCCCTCGTAGGGGGCCCAAGGTTTCAAGGCCGAGAACCACCACCAGACCTTGTGATACGTGACTCAGGTGCGGACGCTTGTAGTACCTGCACCAGCGCTCTTGACGGCACCATACGTGCTCAGAAAGAAGGACCAACATCACAAAGACACAGAGAAACCGAGCAGATGGGACCTTGCAAGTCGGTGGATTCTGCTCTCGACCAAGATGAGGCGGAACTTGGCGTCCTTGTCCTTGCGGTTCTTGTCAAGGTGCTTTCGGATGGACACGGCCTCGGCAACAAAAAATCCTGCACTCTAGACCTTTTGAGCCCGCCCAAGCCGGTGGCCTTCTTGATGAGGTAGTAGAGATCCTGCTTTAGAAAGGGGGGCTCTTTCCTACGCTTTCTGAGAGAGCTTCGGCTCTTCGAGCTCGGGCCCTCTGACCGGCCTCCGGCAGGGTGGGAGCCAGGCCGTTGGTCTTCAGGATTCGGAGGATATGGTTTCCGGTCACGTTCTTCACCTGTAGGAATTGGAATCCCCGAAGAACAAGAGTACGGGAGCTCTTTTTTTTGCAGAGAGCCAGAGAGCCTGAGGCACTCCGAAGCTATCTCGAAGAGTCACCTCAGAAGTTCCACGAGCGCTCAGCCTTCCTGAAAGCTGGAACCTGGTCACGAAGCTAGGACTCCAGCACCAATCTGAGATGGTGTGAGGCCCTTCTTGGCAAGCTTGCAAATGTGATCGCACACGTCCTGCGAGTGCCACGTGCGAATCTCGCACTTTCAGAACGCGAAGCTGGAGGGCCTCCGGCTTCATCTTCAGCCACGTGGGGGGCGTCCTGCCGGGCTTCCAAACGGTGCTGAGAGATTGCTGGGAGATTGCGCTGCCAAGGCATGGATGGTCGGAGCAGCAAAGGAAAGCTTTACAGGAAAACACTCATGAAGTGATGTCGTTCTACTCCCGTACTCCCCCCCGGGTGCAGTGAGGTTGCCTGTTCTCGTCTACACTATGTCACCGACAAGCTCTATGCCCTTCCTGGTTTTGGGGAAGGAAGCCTTTACCTGGTTACCTGAGACACCGCGCGCGGTCTATATCCCTCAGCCCAAACTGCAAGAATTTAAACTTCCCTCTGGCCTCTTGTAAGGGATCGCCGAGCTGGCGATGCCCTGAAGAATTCGACACAGCTGCCGGCGATTGGGATTCAAGTAACGCAGGGGGCAGTGCTTGCTTCTCTTCGGGATTCGTTTAGGATTGGCAGTTAGGTTCACAGGTTCTTGTCAGAATTTTGCAGGCCTTGGGTAGGGGCTTCTACAGAGTCGTTGCCCCACGTCACCGGGAACTTTGCGCTGCCCACGTGCCTTGCCCTTGCCATACATGCGACCCATCTTCCTCAGACCAGACGATGAGCTGACTCTGCTGGGGCGGCAAAGAATACATAATATAGACGCGTGACAAATCCCAATGCAAGTAGGACGCAAGGTACGCGGAGAATACGCTGAAGCGCCAGCTTGCTAGGAATAGGCTTCCGAACCAAATGGCTCAAGTGGGAAGCAATGTTCGGTCCGTGCTTGTGCCGAAGCACAATGACAGATTCCTAGGGCGAATTCGGAAACTCCGGTGCCTGGTTGGGCACGGCTTGAGCGTCCTTCAGCTGCTGCTCCACCTGACATGCGAGGAACAGGAAACTGAACTGACTGTGAAGCACCGAGGAGCGGACGTGCGCGGCCGATCTCTCCAAGCTTTTCTGCAGGCTGGAGCCTTGAGGAAGAGAGAGAGAGAGAGAGAGAGAGAGAGAGAGAGAGAAAAAAAACTAGCAGTGAAGAAAGACATGTTAAGAAGTATGTGAGCTCGGCTGCAGGCGCATGGCGAGGCATGCCCTGTTTCGAAGATGCTCGAACCTGCGAAAAACTGCCACCGATTTCCCGGATGATCGGACCATCACTGGAGAGCTCCGAGGGCACTGCTGGGACATGTAGGCGGAAGCCTGGCCTGGGATCCAGAGAGAACCTAACTTTTCTGGGGGCCGATCTCCCACCCTAAACCCCCTGAGCTTTTCACAAAAGTCTGGGTGGGCCTGAGGCCACGCAACATGCAAGGTAGCATAGACGATCAGGGTCGCAGAATCATCATCAGCATCCCTCGCAGCCTCTAGGAAAGAAATGGAGCCGTCGATTTTGTCGAGCACCTGCTTCTTGTATCCATTTAGCAAACAATCCTCTGTCCACGAGGACGAACATCAGATGCTACCCTGCCGCAGCCTACTTCCTACTTGCTACTTCTCGTTGCTCGGTCATCATGTGCTGCTGCTGTGCCTACTACTACTCATTGCTGACTGGCCTCTACTTGCTACTAAGCTGCTACTAATTCCTAAATTTACTCGACATTTCTTACGGCTACCAACAATAAACGTCATCACAGTTCTATCAGAAAATTGATAATGATAATATCACGATGCCACCGACACAATTCTTCAACACTCCTGTCAGTAAGTGCTGCTGACAAGCGCTCGGTTTTGGGCCGGTGTGCTTCCAGTCCCACCACGATGACTACGCCACGCGCCATGGTCTACATAGTCTAGTTGAGATGAGCAGAACAAGTAGCATTGCGCTGCAACTCGCGGGTCAACGACCTCCCGTAAGTTCCCGGCAGATCCGAACTCGGTGTCGGGACTTTCCGACCTGCGCTTTGCGGGATTGGTTTTAGGCTTAGGGCTTAGGATTTGTGATCTCCTTTCTACTGCTGGATTCTGAGTGCAGGGCGCCGCTGAAGCCACGGCCGTCTTGGCAGGAGCACTGTGGGGGGGAATCAGACGCCAATGGCCAGTACCCTATCGGAAGGAACTCTTGCTCATTCTGACTTTTTGCACTTTCCACCGAGCGGCTCCCGCATTGGAGAGGAAGCCGTTGGCTGAATGGTGGTCCAGCACGCACCTCGTGTGCTTAGTTGCAGGGGCAGCTTGTCCCATTAAGCATGGAGGACACGAAGCTGCCCAACTGCTCTGCTACCGTTATGGCTTTGTTGAGGTCCTGAGCATTAGGAGGCGGGCAACCTTCAGCATCCAAGTAGCACACTTCGAAAGCACGTGTCTTGGTCCTATGCTTGTAGCCCTTTCCCTCAACAGGTATCTCCTTAATCTTGAGGTGTTCTTGGAAACGCAGCTTCTTAGTAGGTCCCCATGAGCCATCGATACCCTCTAGCGACGGCACACCTGAGGTCGAAGTATTTAAGTCCAGGGTTGCCTTGTAATGTCCCAACCATTGTAACAACACCAGGACCATCATCAGTACCCAGTGCTTCGTCTGACAGGACGGATGTTGTAGCCACTTCAGTCGGTATCAAAGACGGCGAGCGATCGCTCATGTACCACAGAAAATAGACCAGATTGTAGCAGATACGGCTGACAACCTCTAGAATCAACAGGGTACGCCGTTAAGCCATGTGCAATAGGGTAAGGACCTTTTTCCTACACAGAGGGCTTGAGTTCAACGGTCGCGGTATGACCAACATGATGACTGTACACGGTCACATAGAATCCTACGTTTGGTACCATGCAAAACAACAACATTAGAGACGCTCGTTTTCTCTAAAGCGGTCTTTGACCATGTCCGGAAGACAGGCCAAGATGCGAAGCAAATTGACGGCACAACTAATCGAATACTCTTAGCATTGAGCCGCCCAGTCTGCAACCCTGGATCTTGGATCCACTGGGGAGACCTATATTAGACGTCTCAGCTTACGCCAACTTTTTGAATATTGGGCCGGCCGAATCCAAGATCCAAGATTGCAAGCCAAAGTTTCTTGGATCCGTCCCAGGGCCCAGAGGCCAATACCAAAAGGATCAGGTTAACCTAATACTTTTACTGTTGGGCCGGCCGGATCCAAGATGGATCCAATAAACTTTCTAAATCTTGGATCTTAGATCCAGGGGGAACCACCTTTGTAATGTTCATCACAGCTCTAAGCAACTATTTTCACACTGGCACCCTCGAACACAACTGCAGACAGTTTTCGCTGGACTTACACGCCGCCATGTAGGTTCTGCAAAGCACCTTGCTCTATGCGGCTCTATCTGCTTCCCTTCCCCATAATAAGGAACATACCATAATTCCCATAGTTTAGGGTCCTTAAGGTAATGCAGCATTTATACCATCAACCGAGTGTGGGGCGCAACATCCGCCACGCGGTCGAAGTAGTCTAGCGCCTCAGCTAAGGCCTCGCGGAGATGTGGGACTTTCCGAAATTAGGGGTACCTTATTTGGGGTCCTTATAATAAGAATCCTACTATTCAGGGTACTATATATATTAGGGTCCCCTATTTTCGGAAACCCCTATGTGAGCACAGGACGCGGCGACATGACACTGTGCCGCGGTACGGATTGCTACGAAGCAGGAACACGCCTCACGAAAACCCCCAGCAAGATTTGGAAGATCCGGCTAACTTCTTCATCAACAAAACTGCTGTGGCACGCAATGCTCCCAAGTCATACAGACGGAACGCAAGCGCTCCTCCTGGGCGTCGCCAAAAGATTAGAAGAATTATTCCCCGCAACTCCCTTCGTGGAAGATGATGGCAGTCTACAGTTTCGGTGGGATCCCCCAACCCCCCCTCCTCCCCCCGGTGACAAATTAAAAAAGCACCTCGACCTATTAAAACCCAGGCTCCAATAACCTGAAACCCCCAAAACACCCACTTCCCAAAAACCTCTCCAAAAACCCCGGCCACCTCGGCCTCTTTGGCTAATCTGTCTTGATCCTCTGACTGGGGAACAAGTCTGTGAGGCGATTTCGGATGAAACAAACATGTGGGCCTCTTAAAAGCGGCTTTGAGGGTTCCGCGAAAGTCTGGCCAGGAATAAGGTGAGCTCTTTTCATGGTGGCCTTGGCTTGTATATCCTATAAAAGCTTAAAGTCGAAAGGTTACCGTACCTACCCAGCCGGCTAAGACTTAAGAGGTTTAGGAGTCTGCGGGTTTAGGAGTCTGCGGGTTATGTACCGAGCATGAACATACCCCAATCAAGGGGTGAATGTTGGTTCGGATTTGGGACCAGAGAGCCTGTCTGAGGGAAGAGAGAGCCCCTTCTCGATGAAGATACTTCGGAAGATTACAACTAGGATCGTGAAGATGACTGACATGAACATGACAGTGCCAATTATGGCGGGGACGACCAAGACCATGAAATTCATGATGATGATGATGATGACGATGATGATGTGCGATGAGGGTAGATTGACTCACGAAGATAACCCTGGCCGGTGACGTCATGTGAGCAGACTGCGTCATGTCTATGTGCAAAGGCCACCAAAGCAGTAAGCAAACCATGCTCAAGAATCATAAATGCAGCATCACGAGAAGCACCGGAGAACACGAACCACCACCGTCCTGGACCATCTGTTCACACTGCTCATGCAGCGCGGTGGTCTTTCGGAGAACCTCGCATGGCAAAAGGCACACCACTTCACCTCTGGTGAATCTGCAATACGAGCACGTTGCTGATCTATCTGCAAGTCTGCGAAGAAATCAAGGCTCAGCGCAGCTGAGCACGCTGCGTCGCATCTCTGCCGGTCCAGCTCTGTTAACTGGTCCAGGACAGCATCGAGCCTTGCGTTGAGGTGTCGAGGGCTCAAGAAGAATTGGATCTGGTGCTCGGATCCCCGGCTCTCCGCATGCAGAGTCGCAGATCTGCTGAACGCGATAGATCCTGTCCAGCACAGGGCTCTGATTGCTTTACGACGTATTGGGCTTTGGACAGTCTTGCCACAATGCCGTTGTTTCATCAAAGCGTCCATCGCCAGCGTCCGCGACGTCGGGAGCCCTTTGGCACGAACGAAGCACAAGGCAATGTCGAAGATGTTCCATGCAAGGTGCCTCCTGGGTCCTCTGCCGCAAACGGACGGAGTGCCAGTGTCCATGAAAAGCCTGACCAAGGCACAAGTTCCCAGCATTTCCCACCATGCAAGGGGAAGTTCTCTCGCATCTGCAAACCTGGCCTCGAAGGCAGTGTCATCCGAAGCTTCTGCATCTTTGGATGCCACCTTCTGCGAGTCTAGTGCGCAAAGCACTCCACGCTTCGCGAATAAAAAGCCCCCGTACCTGTGAAGGGCCACCTGGAGCAGTGCTGCACAGAGCCACATCAAGCCCACCCGCACCTCCTCTCCGACTCAGCTTCCGGCTGCCACCAACCGCAGTGGCCAGGTCGTCCAGCAGCGACGCTTGTCCTGAGCATTCCCAGCCGTAACTCCCAGCCCTTGCTCTGAGGGCTCCCCGGAGGGCCCAGCTCTCCGACAGGAGCAACTCTGGAAGCGCCATTGGGGAAGCGCCTCTCGAACAGGGGCTTCCTTCCTTGTTTGGGACGACCTGCACCTTGAAGCCAAGCCTTTGGGGGCCTTTGGTGGAGTTCGTGCTTCTGCAGATTTCCAAGAACCATCAAGAACTAAAAGAAGCATAGCTACAACAAAAGAGGGCCATTGGTCAGGGCTTCATCAGATGAGGAGCCCTGGAACGCGGGATCCTTTGGAGGCGCCTTGCGGGCCAGGATCCATGCTTGTCAGTGCTAAGCCTGCGCCCAACTTGGCAGACTCCTCCTTTTGGCAACTCCCACTTCTCACTGATCTGTTGACGGCGTCAGATGTCATCTGCTGCTTCGTGGAAACGCGTGGAAACTGTTCAGCATGTCGGTTTGCTTCGCCGTCGATATGCAAACACACATATGGCAAGGTCCAATTCAGAAATGGTTGTTTAGTCAGAAGTTGATGTACATCTACATCATTCTCGCCTACTTCCGCCTGCAACAACCCTTCACGTTGATTTCAACCGGGCTTGCAGTGGCTGCTCGAGGTTTGCTGGCCCTTTCCGACTGCGAGCTAGTGGCAGGGGGTGGCGGGCCGGTACTCGCTGGAACAGGCAGGGCAAGGGGGAGGAGGCTGTGGGGTAGAGGGCATTTGGTCTGCCTGCCCGTCCTGACTATGACGAGTCATGACTCATGGCTGAGCAAGCGTCGATATCTATTTTTTGTTGAAAACGGGCCCTTTCAGGCGGTCTGACGTCCATTGCTTTTCCGAACTTTCCCCGGCCCTCCCCGCAGGGCCTCGGTGTCCGGAAGGCCCGAGGCGGCGGCAGTGCTAGGCCCTGCTCTAGGCTCAAGGTGTTCAGGAACAGACCTCTCCGTTGAACTCTTGTTTTGCAAGTGCGATGCCCCCCCCCCCCCCCCCCGATCCACTTCCGTTTGGGGTCGATGCGTGGTGCGGAGAAGCTCAGAGCACTGCATTGCATTGTGTCATTCCGAGCCACCCCTAAACAGCTACGGGAATGGGCTTGTCGCCAGACGATACCATGCACAACGTCCTGTGAGTACCAATGCAACCAAGCTCACGAAACACACCGCAACACGTTGCGCCGCCAGAGAGCTTGATCCCCCCCCCCCCCCCCCCCC